CTCCGCGTTTCAGCTAGGCCCCTCCCTAAGCTCAAGGCCCAAGAAACTACAAGTCCCCGTGCTTCCCTGCCCTGTCTTTCTTGCTGGCCACCCCCTTCTCTGGTGCACGTTAGACCCACCCTTGGGCTGCAGGCAGTCTTTCAGTTTGTCTGTTCTCCAGGCTTCTGCTGTTTCTCCCTACTTTTGTCCAACCTGCAATCTCCCCATACATGTCTTTGTAGACCCATTCTAAAACAGTAACCCACTTTAAAACCCAAGTACCACCATCTCGTTACTCAAAGGAAGAGTCGAAGCTGTTCGCATCTATTTTATGATCTGACCTCCTGTCTGTGGTCAGTGCTCCGTCCTTGGAGCCATTCTCCTGGCTCAGACCTGTTCAGCTGTGCTCTTTGTCTCCTCAGCAGCCTGCTGGGAGCCCGCTCACCCTTCAGGTGTCCTTCAGGCCTAGGAGCATGCTGGGGTCTGAAGGAGGAGCCTCGCAGGCCTGTGCCTGCCACCTGTGTCTACCTGACAGGTCACCATTGCAGCGTGGGTTCCTAGAGCTTTGGGTGTTGACTCCCCAAAGGCTATGTGTGGCGCATGAAGCCACCCGTCTCTTTGCCGTTCCCTGCCTTCACACAATGCCAGAGTTCCACCAGTTGCTCCTCTTAGGAGACATGATTAAAAACCACTTTGCTTTAATAGAGCTAATTTAACGTGTGGTGATTGTAATCGGTTCCATCTCCTCATTTCATTTGACAGGGGAAATTTTCAAATCTGAGCTGCGCTGGAGCTGGCTCTTTAATCAGGGTGGGAATTCCCTCTACTTTAAAGTACAGAGACGAGAACTCTTGAGCACCTCCAGGACGGGTCTTTGGCTCTGGAGATTGCTCTGTCTCTCCCTGGCTGGGTAGGAAGAGTTTCCAAAGCCTCTGAGAATGAGGGTTCGGGCTGCCACTCCCTACTTTCTTTCCCATGGGCACTGAGAAGCCTTTGCCCTTTCCCAGACTCTGTGTTATGATTGTGCTGTTCATGTGGGCTGCACATGCAGGGCAGAATGACCCCTACAGATGACTGTGAGGACCACCAGGGACACTGGTTGGGAAAGGAAAGGCTTGAGACACATGTGCCTGAGACAGGCTGGCAAGATGGAGGCAGAAGGAGAAGAGCAACTCTAGGCCCATCAGGATCAACGACATGCCTATCGGGAGACCTCCATTTAGCGAGGCAGCAATGCCCTTTAGATATGACGCTCTTTGGGAGGACGAGGCAAAAGCATAGTGCAGGATTCTAGCAGGGACTGTACAGGGACCTCATGCAGCAGGAGGAGGTACCAGTCCAAGCCTCCAACCTGTTTCATCCTTGCAACTCCATCACCCCATACAGATCCTGAGTGCAATCCCCACATATTCCCATGAGCTCTGAAATGGGGGCCAGGAGAAACAGCAGCAGGCAGTGACCATGAGGTGGTTTACCTATACAATTTATGCAGGGACAGCCCGCACAGGCACTGGTAGTGATTTTAGAGACCCTTGGGTGTTTGCATGGCCCTAAACCTCCAGTTTGTCGTCGTGGGACCTTTCACGTTCTCCGGTGTCACCTTTGATGATAGCACAGTTTGAGTCTTTGTGTGTCTATTTATAGACCGCGTTTAGCTCCACTGGGCTCTGCCTTTCAGATCAATTTCACTCAACGGATGGGCATTAGAGTCCTGGGTACTGGAAGGGCAAACTCAGAGCCCTCACTGTGAGATTTCTGGATGCTCCTTTTTTAAATTTTTTTAAAAATATTTTATTGTTTTGTGTGCATAAGTGTTCTGGCTGCATGTATGTCTGTACACCATGTGCATGCCAGGTGCCTGTGGAGGCGCAGTGGAGGAGTTGGGTCCTCTGGAACTGGAGTTACTGATAGCTGTGAGTGGCAGCCAGGGGCTCGAAATTGAGCCTGGGTCCTCTGGAAGAGCAGTTAGTAATCATCTCTCCAGCCCCGCTCTATTCTTTTAAAATAGGGTTTCTGACAGAGTAAGCAGGAAAATGCCCATTTCATAGAAGCAGACAGAGATTGCAATGTAAAGGCTATGTAAAAAGCAGCCGTCAGAAGGTGGGAAGGAGGCAGCCAGTTATGGTCTGTGTGCTGTGCTGTTGTAGAGCCATCGACTCTCTTGCCACCTCTGCTGTTTCTCAGCGCTTCCTCTTTGCCCCTGTCTCACTGTTTCTCTTTGTGATTGAGTCTCTCTTCTGAGTTCCCCGCTGTACATTCCTGTGGTTTTGCTTTCCCTGCTCCTCCCCATCACTTCCCTTTCACGCTGTTTTTATTTTCCTCTCCTTGCTTCGAAAACGAGACATAAAATATTTTAAAGTATTGTATTTATTAAACATAGTTGCTTTTTGCTGGACGCGGTAACCTATTGATATTTTTGCTTCTCACGGCTGTGTTTTCTGAGGTGGCTGGTTGGTGGCGTGGGCTGGGAAGACGGAGGAAGGGAGGTGTGGCTTCCCGAGTCCTCAACAGCATTTTGATAGGTTGTGCTGTGAGCAGCTTTGCTGTTAGTTCTCCTCAAACACAGAGGCGATCTGGTAACCAGATGGCTTCTGCTTGGCAGTTTGCCCAGTGAAGTGTTTACCAGCTCTGAAAACGCATTTCAGAGCGCCGCGTCCTGGGTATTCGTGATTCTGTTTATGTCCCTTTTCTCCGGTGGCCACGGATGCGATGTTCCCACTCGTTTATGGAGTGGTAACTGTTCATTCTCTCCGTGGTTTACTGATTTGACGCTCCTTGCATAATGTTATTCTTATTTCCTTATCAGTGTTTTATGCAGAGTAAATATGCAGTTGTATACTTCATCATTCATGAATTTAATCTTAATACCATGTTTATTTGTGAACCCACGATTCTATTTCATGGAATCTACAAGATTATAGTCTGGTATACATCACAAAGTTGCACATCTTTCTAAGAATCAGTGAGTTGCTACATTTGCTACGTTTGGGCACAATCATGAAGTCTTTTCTTAAGCCTTTAATCTCCTTGTACTATGGACATAGCTCTGATTCCCCTCTGAAGACAGAGTAATTTAGAACAGCTGTCCCCTTTTCTCCTCTCAAGAAGTCAGAGTTCAATTTTGATCGTGTGTGAGTAGATTAAGCCAGAGAGTGTTAGACATGTGTGGTGAGGCTGAAACTTTGTTATAAAGCCTCGGCACTGCTAGATTCTCAGCTGGTACTGTTTTAGTGCTCGGAGGAACTGCCGAGCAGGGCATAGTGGCTCATGTCTGCAAGCCAAGCACTCACAGGAGTGGGAAAGGGCTGCAGAAAAAATAAAGGAAATTGGGCAAAAGGGGTGAGGAGAAGGAAGGCGAAGATAACGTATGAGTCGTTTATATTGGCCCTTAGGATTTGGAGATTAGAACTTAGCTTTTGAGCTTTGAATAGTGAAGGAGTGGCCACTCTCCATGATCTCTTTATTTGTGTCCTATTGTGAAAGGTGCGCGATTTCATGCCGGATCTGACAAGAGCACAGTTTGAGAGGCTTTTACTCCTTGTAAAGACCCAGTTTGTGGGGCCTCAAACCAAGTAGGAAATGTTCTCAACATGTGTAAAGTCACAGGTAGTCCAGGATGGAGCAGGGAGCCGGGCAGAGGATGGTGCAGAAATGAAGGAGCCAAGAGACCGTGTGCTCCTGTAACCCTTAGTTACGAGATGACATTGGCCTGAAATCAGAACTCATTTGGACTTGTTCAGAGGCTCCGGATCAGGAGTTAAAGGAAAGCAATAATGGAGGCATTCTGACATCTTATTATTCCAGTCTCTGTAGACTGGCAAGTTGGACCAATGTCTCAGCCCTATGGATGCAGCAAAACTTTTCCTGGGTAAGGCTCCGAGGCATGACAAAGCCTTCCTCTGGCTGGCGTGTGAATGTTGACAGTGTACAAAAAATGTCCACCATGGCTGTCTCCCCTCATGTTTACACCCTAGAGACTGCTCTTGTGCAGACACAAGCTAAACCTACCTCCTTGTTCAGCTGTATGCAATGATCCTACCTTCCCATTTAACCACATATAATGAACACACACACAGTGTCCAGGGTGCTGTGGCTCCTCCATCAGAGCAAGGACAGTTCACCCAGTCTCAGATTTCTGTAGCCTTGTGTCTGTCTTTACTTACTTCACCATTGCCCCCAGTGAGGACCCAGACCATGGAAGGATGAGGCACTTTGCCTAGAGGAACCGTCAGCTTTAGCAGTCACACAATCCAAACATTAAATGAAGGCGGTTCATAGCTCTGAGGATAACGCAGAAGGGTTTGCGGTTCTATGTGGATGCTGTTTTCTGGAGCGGCACATACTTCCAAAAGAAACAATAGCCAGCTCATTCCCTATCCCCAGGGTTTTAATATTTAAATGCAAAGAGAGGACATTGCATTTGTCATTTGAAGAGTGACTTATTGTAATTATTTTCCCTTACTTCTTCAAGATACTTTGTGGATTCCATGCATTCAGCTTAAGAGCTTAGGGCATTATGACACCGATCATTCAGAATGGAAATTACCGCAAGCTGCTTATAGTTCAAGCACTTTTATTTCATCTGTTGGGAAACTCTGAATGACACCTGGTAGGTTTAACCATGACTCATCACCCCGGCCTCTCTATATACCACCCAGCCCACCAGATAGGCACACACAAAACTTCATCCAACCTGGGCTGAATCTCTAACAAGTCAGGATGAAATTATTGTGGATTCCCAGCCCCCAAAGCAGTAACACAAAATAAAATAAATCTATTTCCATTCTTCAACTCCACTCATGGGCAACATTTTTAGTCTGGAAACTTGATCCCAACCGAGATGGATTTTGAGGATTGCATCAAGCACACAAATGCAGGGCAGTATACTAGATCAGATGGGCCTCAGCCCTCCCCGGGAATTAAAGGTAAGTACAGGCAGACAGACAGGATTTTCTCTTTGTGTGATTTTTGCATTTCTCCATTCAAAACCAAAAGTAAATAATAAATGTCAGGTTACTCACTCATGGATTCAGTTAACTTGGCCATTGTCATTTCTTCTTTGTGCTTTTCCTGGAGAGGAGAAAAGACAGTGATAAATAGATGTGCCCGAGACTGGGAGAGAGTCGCACGCCAGCTGCAGCTACCTCGCTCTTTTCCTTTTTCCTAGGTCAGATGTAGTACAGCTCTGTGACCAGAGAGTCACTGGAAACAGGACTGTTAGGACATTAGAAACCTTCCTGTCGCTCTTGGCAGTGCGCGTTTGTCACACTGATCTTGGGTAT